AACGATAAGAAATGGAGCAGAACAAAGGAAGGTGAGACCTCGGGGTGAGGTGGATGGGTTGAGCAAGATGAGCCTGGAGTATATATTACATTTACCTCCCTTGGAGGTGTGATAGATCTAAGAGAGTTCGTTCAGGTATGAAATGCATTGATTTTGTAATTTAAAATATATCAATAAAAAATGGTAAAATCTAACTAAATCTCATATCTTTAACTTACCTTATCTGTAGTGTCTTATCATTAAATCTTTCCATATCACTTTTGGAAACAATTTTTATTTTATTTTATTTTATTTTAAAAAGGCTGTCTGTGCCTGTAGGCTACAGAGAGGTCAGGGGGCACTATGCATGAAAAAAAAAGTACTTTAAAAAAAAAAACTAATACTCCCTCCGGTCCTAAATATAATACCCATTTTGTAGTGTAAATTACCTACAAAATGGGTATTATATTTAGGATTGGAGGAGTAGTTGGGGACATTACTAATTGTTTGCAACAAAAAGTTATTACATTTTTGGTTTTGTTGAATGCTTTCTCTTGCATGGACGAAAGAATTACATTGTACTGTTCATGAAAAAAACTTACCCTATGTTTGGATGGGGAAAATTTAGGAAGGAAAGAATACCAGAATGGAAACTTACCCATAAATAGTAATATATATATTTTTTTATTTACTATTATCAGAAGTTTTCTTTCTTAGTATCCCCTCCTCCCTATTTTCCTCCCACCTTTCCTTCCATCCAAACATAGCCTTGGTGAACTGCCTAACTTAGAATGGTGAAGCCAAGACTAAAGGAGGGGAGAACCTGGAAGGATAGAAATGGATCTCTTACTAAGAGCATGTGTGGCATTTGTGTTCTGGTACTACTTCATTGTTCATGTCATGTTCTAGGAATATTCTTGATCTCTTGCATTATATTCCTTTTTCCTTAGCACAAATTCATCCCTTAATATCAAATTCCTTATATATACTGACTTAGGTTATGATTGGTGAATGCAGTCGAAAGCGGTTTAGTGAGAAGCAAGCAGAACAATGGTGGGCCCGAGAATCGGGCCAGAATATATGAGAAGTACAATGTACGCGGGGCTGACAAGTCAGCCATTGATGAAACGATCTACAAATGAGTTTCTTCTTTTTCCGCATTATTTTAGTTGGATTTACAGCAAGATAATGCTGATTAGTTTTACATTTGCTTCCATCTGATATTAAGGATTTGAGGGTTGGTAGCTAGCTTGGTTTGGCTTGATAGGAGAAAGAAGAGAATAGGGATTTGATTATGCTCTTGTGATTATTTTCTCCTTAGTTTGATTTCACTTTGCATTTTTTCCCTATATATAATTATATATACACCTTGTGTGGGGGTTGACAGTGAGATGTAAATTCTTAGTAGGTTTGTTGGCTAGCAACATTGTAAATTTTTACAAGCAAAATATTTGCAGATTTTTCTTTATGTGCTGTTCATTGATTGCCTCTATCAGTAGAGGTGTTTTTCTGCATATGCTGCCTAATGACTAATGTCATGCTTAAGAGATAATTATGACTGATTCGGCAGAACATGGAGGAAAAAAAAAAAAGAGAGGCCAAAACAGAGAGTGAAAATGAGGGTTGTGTGACTTTAAAACGGACTTTTTAAAAATTTGATTGGTCATTGAATGAGGGAAGTACCAATTTAAAATTCATCGGTTTGCTTATGTTCGTTTTTTTTTTCTTTTTCTGCCAATAGGTTTGATTATGGTATAACTTTTGACTTTATTGAAATTAAATAGATTTATTATGTAAACATTAAATTTTTTTTGGTTATTTTCTTATTATTTATCTAAGTTTTTAATTGAATAAATTTTCAAAGCATTTTAGACTTAGATAAGGGCTAGTGGTTAAATTGTCTAGCGTTGGATAATTGCTGCATTCATGCTTTCCTAGAAAAAAATTAAAAGAAAAATCAATAACATAAATTATGCATTAGACTAATTGTACTTTAAATAAACTTTTTATGATACAAATTAAATTTTTTTGGTTAATATTGTGATGTATGAGGTTTTATCAAAGTGATACAAGATATGTATGAGGGGATAACTACTAGTATAAGAACACCTGGAGGTGAGACAAATGACTTTCCTATTAAGATTAGCCTACATCAGAGATCTTCTTCGAATCCTTGCTTGTTTAATATTATTCTAGACGTTCTAACTGAGCTTATTCAAGCAACAATCTCTATGTGCATGCTTTTCGTGAATGACATAGTCCTTATGGCAGAATCAAAAGAAGAAATTAACTCTAGATTAGAGTTATGGAAAAAGATTTTGGAGTCAACAGGTCTTCGTTTGAGTAGGAACAAAAGAGAATATATGCTTTGTAATTTTAGGGAGAGGTAAGGCAATGGTGATTTAGAAGTAAAGATAGGGGATCAAATCATTCCTCAAGTATCAAAATTTAAATACTTACGATCCATGGTACATGAGAATGGTGAAATTGATGGAGACGTTTCTTATAGAATACAAGCTGGCTGGTTAAAGTGAAGGAAGGTTACTGAAGTTATTTACGGTAAGATGTATCTGAGAAGTTTAAGGAAAATTTTTTATTAGACTGTTATAAGACCAGCTATGTTGTACGATAATAAATGTTGGGCGATAAAGGAAAAATAAGAGTACAAAGTTGAAATAGCAGAGATGAGGATATTGATATGGATGTGGTCATACAAGAAAGATAAAATTCGAAATGAAAATATCAAAGTAAGAGTTAGTGGTGGTGCCTGTTTAAGAGAAAATGGTTGAATATCGCTTATGGTGGTTTGGACATATGCAAAGAAAGCTATTAGAGGCCTCGGTGAGAAAGGTAGATCAGACAGTATGAAGTCTCATAAAAAAAGGTAAAGGAAAACTGAGAAGAACGCTTAATGAGATCATTGAACGAGATTTCCTGATCAACAATATATCTAAGGACTGAGTTGTTGACAGAGCATAATGACGCCGTGTGATTTATGTAGCCGATCCCATTTAGTGGGATAAAGCTTTGTTGTTGTATTGTGATGTATGAGGTTTTGAATCTTCCGAATTTTATCTTTCCAAAGTTCCCTATTAGTTAAGATATTTTTCTTCCCTCGTCCTCCTCCATGCGTGTTCTCACTTGTGTATATATATACATATATAGAAAGAGAGAGGGATAACATTTCATGTTCCCCGCTGCAACATGAAACATGAAGCAGCGCGCGCGCGCGCGCACACTACCTAACTAGTTCACCTTGTAAATATAGGCAGCAGCTATTGGTCTGCTAGATCATAACAAGTGAATTGATTTATAAATTGACAACATATGATCCTTCGAACAACAACAACACAAAGAAAACGGAAGGTCTCATCATATTTTTATGTTATTAGACAGTTTCTCGGTCAACACCTAACAAAGTTTATCTAAATATAATCCAATCCTTGTAATTTGATTTCTTCTAACAAGCAAGGAGCTTCAGGAAAGGGAGCCTAACATACAATTCCCAGACCTATGAAATATGAACAGTCATCAGTGCAAACTGTAAACACACGAGTTCCACAGCTAAAAGCTATCAGGTTTCTTCGATGATTGTCTTGAAAACATGAGTACGAAACAAACATTAAGTCAAACTTAGGCTGTGTTTGAAGTGGCGTTAATTGGTTGCTCCGGTCAAACTGTATTCTCGGAGAGCCAGAACACCACTTCATACAGGCTATTAAGCATCAACTTCTTCCTTCAGAACAAACTCAAACGCTTCATCATCCCATGAAATAGGAGAAGATGGTGCAGAGTCCCATAGTAATGGAGGAGGAGATGGAGGACAGCTCCTCTGTGCTGAAGAGTCCAACCAATAAGAAAACTTGGACATTGGCAATTCCTCTGGTTCTGGGTAGCAACGAGGGGATTGAGGGACCTAATAAAGCCACCAAAAAGAAGTTAAGAGTAAATGTTGCAACGAAGGGAAGCAAAGCAGCAAAGAGAATATAATTTAACCGCGAAATGAATATATGTTTACTTAATTTTTTGAATGATTAAGTATTATAATCAGTAAGTAACCAATGCTTTTGTTTTGGTCCAAGGTCACCTCCCCTTTAAATATTCATAACCAAAACAAAACAAGTGAAGAAAAAGGTATGACAGGAAGGGAATATTACCTTAATCTGATCAAGAGAAGTTATGGAATCTGCAAGAATAAAATGAAGTAAGGATTCTGGATTCCCACACAGAAGCTTTCAAACTTATTGTAAAGTAGTAATAAGAAACGGAAACATCCATCTTTTTTTTTCCATCCAAAGGAAGAGTTAAAAGATAATATTCAGATATGTTGCACACAATCTCTCCTCAAATATTTATGTAATTCTGATCTTAACAAATCTTTGTAAGTTAGGTGTCCAATGCCATCATCCTTTTCTTCATATGCTCTATAGTAACACAATCCTCTTTTCTTAAAGCATGTTTCATGAATCATCCTTGAGATTGCTAGTCTTCATTCCTAGTGTTACTATTAGCAACACGAACCCTACATGCCATGCAAGAGGACTAAGAACAACTTGCATTATGGGCCAGAAACAAATACCATCTTGTGGAAGAACCATGTCTAGATTCAAAGCGTTCATTGCTGCTTTTTGGGCTTCAATGCACTTCTTATGGTCATGCAAGAACGTTTCCTCCTTCACATTGATTTCTTGTTCTTCCTTGGGTGCATTCTTTTTCCTTGATGAGGCTTCGACAAAAACAGATGCGTTTTTGTTTGTAATGTCGTTGAGAGCTTTTCGACCAGTAGGCACTAAGCCAACTTTCTTTCCATCCGCTTTAGAATTCTTTGTCTTCCCACTCAAGGCAGCTTCTATTGCAAGTCATAACCAATATAACAGGAGAAAATCACCATAGTAAGAATTCATTTTGTGTGCGATAATCATATTAGTGCCATCTTATTAATTAAATGTAAAAATAATTCTCAATCACTTTATTCTTGAGCACATCTATGAAACAAAAATCCTATTGATGTTACACCACTCTACTCAGGTCAAGTGTTCATAGCAACATAAGCCTTACTCTTGGGTTTGGATTGAAGAACCAAATTTTCATCTTTAATCATCAGCTTCCCAGGGGTGATATATTTGGCCATTACCTTGTTTAATCCAATGCAGCAGAGAAAAGGCTTGGGTACTAGGCTCTGCAGCAACATAGAAGATAGCATGAATTGATTTTTTTTTTTTTCAAGTGAAAGTTATTTCACACTTAATAAACGACTCCTCTTGAAAATGTTCAGTTTTACAGACTGAAAAGAACACTTTTTGATTCTGAGTCTGAAAAATACACACAAGCAACAAAGCAAGCCCTAAAGAATTACTGTAGTGACCATGATAACTCCGCTCTAAAGAGTTTAGCAAATCAGAGATATAATGGTCCTTTGCGGATAAAGAGGCTATAAGAATCTTGTGGCGCGACTCACAATTGACAATCTTAACATAAACTTTAAAGGTCCTCAGTCCAAACAGAAGAGCAAAGGTTGTCTAACGATCCCCTATTTTCCGATTAAATAATGAACGATTGTTTTCTTTACTCTTTCATCACTCGTTCAATTTTCTTCCACCATTCCACTCATCCCTCAACACACACACACACACACACACACACCCCATTACGTATTTGCCTTTTGCCCAATTTTCTACAAACTAATAACACCTTTAATCTGTTCACAACCCTTTTCTTGCCGATCCAACGAATGAGAGAACAAGAAAGGATCCAAAACAGCAGAAAGAGAGATGCTGAAAGGGAATAGGATGATACCTCGGAGAACAAAGACGCTCAAGAAGATGAACAGACCACGGTGCCGAATTCTTCAGAGTTCAGTTTGAATTTTGCTTCGAGCCCGCGAGAGAACGACGCTATGTAACGACGAATAGGGTAGGCGGTTTATTTCTGACCGTTATAAATATCCAAAGGGGGAGGAGAAGAAGAAAAAAGCAAATAAAAAGCTGAATTGATGAAGGGTTTGGACCAGAGAACCCTTAATAAATTTCAATATTCCAACCTTAACCTAGAACTTTATGACTTTTAAGGTAGGTCACATTTTTTTGTTGGTAAAAAAAAAAAAAACCGAATTTATCAGTATAGACTAGCAAGTCTTAATTAGATATGTGAACGTGTGTCATTTATTTGTTCTTGATAATTTAGCAAAAGTTACTCATAAATTGGAAAAGAATTTTTGTATCTTTGATCAATCTCCACTTTAGATCTAAGAGGTGGATCTTGATCAAGAATAGTTCTTTTGTATTGCTGTTTGCTTTTAATAAGTAATGTTATTCAATATTATTAAAAAAAAGGCAGTTACTAATAAGTATTGATCCAAGTGAAAGAGATTTCGAGACTTTAAGTATCATGTTCCTAGGTCGATTCTTAGGGTGATGCATATGGAGAAAAACATTGTTAGGAAGAATCCCCATTATAGTACCTGATAGTATTTCAAGATATTAGTCTCTTCCTATTTGGATGAGAGGATACTCTAGATAACCCAAAAAGAAAAAAATAAGGTAGTTTTTTTGGGCCAAAATAGGACAGATTAATATGGAATATGCAGATGCCAATCGTATTTTTGTGCTATTCCACCTAAAGCTTATCTCCCTCATAAAGGTTACATTCATAATGTGGATACAATGATAATTCTTAAACTTTTAAAATTTTATTTACATTAATATTAATAATACAGATAAATCTTTAGCTTTTGAGTTGTGGTCTACTCCTTTTTTTTTTTTTTTGCCAATAGTCATAGTCTTTTTTAAGATATAGATAATAGGCTAAAATATATATTTAATTTTTAATTTTGTATAAAATTTTAATTTGATCTCTTAACTTTAAAAAACATACATTTATCTTTTAATCCTAAAATCATTAGTAGTTAGTGATGATTTTTTTGTAACAATCATAGATGTTTTGAAAATTAAACTTAATATGTTAGCATTTGAGAACATTTTATCAATATTTAAGATGTTAACGTCGTTATTTTTTTAAAAAATTAGAGGGTTAAAGGATTAAAAATATACTTTTTAAAATTAAGTGACCAAATTGAAACTTTATACAAAATTAAAGGACCAAATATATACTTTAGCCTAGATAATAATAGTTAGACATGTTAGAATTCAATCCTAATTTAGTCTAGGAAAAATCTCAAAAAATAATTGTTGAATTTTAAAATTTTAAATTAGAAATTATTATAAAATGTGTTGTTATTTATTTTTTGAGTGTAGTTATTTTTTTTATGAGTACGTTGATTAATACTGATTTAAAATTTTAAAATTTAATAGCGATATGTTTTGGGTGATTTTCTCTATGAAAAATCCGAACATATCTAAAAAATTGTACCTATCCCTTCTATTAAAAAAAAAAAAAATTATAACCCTAACAGCGTAGTCTCGCCTAGTAAGAGGGAGCACATCCATTTTTCTTCGTCGACGAACAAGCATTCCCCACTTGGTTAGGCTCGCCGTCGGACGCCGTCCACCGTTGTTTGGCCTGCGTGGTTGCTGTCTAGCAGGTATTGAAGAATTTTAGAACCCTAGGGCTTTCTCTGCTTCCAAAGTTCGGTCAGATTGATTGGTCTAATATGGCTTTAAATCTAGATTTGAATTTGTTCCCCGCGTGGTTGTCAGCCTGTGTCGAACTTCGTCGCACCGCCTCTTGCTTTGTTTTAATTTTTTTTTTCCACTTCAATTCGGCTTTGAATCTGGTTGTGTAATCGTTCGAACTTTGACGCTTTTGAATAATAAACTGAGCTTAATGTTTTTTGAACTTTAATTTCTAGTTTTTGCCTCAATGTTGTGTAGTCGGCTATTATACTTCTGCCCTCTTCATTTTGATTACTGGCGACCTATATGCTTTGTATTGTTTTGCTGTGTGACATTCTGTTTCTTGGTCTCTTAATATTATCATCAATTCAGAAAATTCTCAAGGTATTTGTGATGCATGATCTGGTAAATGACTTCGCTCAAGTTGTGTCGGGCAATATGGAAGCTGTAGTTTAGATTGTAATTCTTCAGTGGCTTGGCGAAGTTTCCTGAATCAGTAAAAAAAATTTAAGCTCTTATGAGTTAATTTAACTTGTTCTTTTTGGTGTGTCTCCATTATCCAGGAAGTCATTGGCGCCCAAAAAATTCTCCCTCTCGTCTGTTCCTTTTTTGTGTTTTTCTCTTCAATTATCTTGGAAGATTCTCGAAGCTCAATTAAATCGGCATGGGTAGAAGTTACAATAGTGAATCCAGTGAAGAGCATGTGAAGGATGAGAGAGATAGATATCGATATCATAGTAGACATAGACGGGATAGGACCTATGATCGTGAAAGTGGTCATAGACACCATCGCACCAAGGACAGACATAAAAGCAAAGATCGCCATGGGCATCATGATTCAGAGGATGAAATTGACAGGAAATCAGAAAGAGATAGAGATAGGAAGAACAGAATCACTAAGGGCAGTGACAGGGAGAAGCACCGTAGGGATAAGTATGAGAGCAAGCAACAAGAAGATAATAGGATGAAAGAGGATGGACATGGAAGGTTAGATGGGGATTCAAAACCTCAAAGACAATCAACAACTCAGGAAGGGGATCTCAATGGCGATAGATCTAATTTGGGTAGAAGTGGAGGAGTTTACATCCCTCCTTTTAAGTTGGCTCGCATGATGAAAGAAGTTCAAGACAAAAGCAGTGTTGAATATCAGCGGTTAACATGGGATGCTCTTAGAAAGAGTATTAATGGACTTGTGAACAAGGTTAATGCTGCTAATATAAAAAATATAATTCCGGAACTATTTTCAGAGAATTTAATAAGAGGGAGAGGCTTGTTTTGCCGCTCATGTATGAAGTCTCAAATGGCTTCTCCGGGTTTTACGGATGTTTTTGCTGCATTGGTTGCTGTTGTGAACACCAAATTTCCTGAGGTGGGTGATCTTTTGCTGAGAAGAATTGTTTTGCAGCTTAAGAGAGCTTATAAGCGAAATGACAAGGTATGCTATCACAGTTTTCTCATGCTAATTTATTCTGTTTTTTATTCTTTCAAGATCAAAATATTCAAGTTGATTTTTTCTTATATATTTGTTTATGTGCCTTGCATGTGTAGCCTCAATTACTAGCTGCAGTCAAGTTTATCGCGCATCTGGTAAACCAGCAAGTGGCTCATGAGATTGTTGCTCTAGAGTTACTTACAGTTTTACTAGAGAAGCCTACTGACGACAGTGTTGAAGTAGCTGTTGGTTTTGTAACAGAGTGTGGGTCAAAATTGCAAGATGTCTCGCCTAGAGGCCTTCATGGTGAGTATTTGCTTGAAGTGCTAAAGCGTTTTTTTCTCCTAATAATTCTAGCCTTTACCATTATTGTATTTGCCAGTTTTTTGAACAATCTTCATTTACATGAGTCTTTTTTTCTGCTTCATTGTTCATACCCGTATTCACATGCCTTTGGTAGTTTATTTTTCAGTTTCTCTTTTATGCTTTATGGTATTAATTATTTTTATCGAAGCATGGTACAATTGTAAGGATGATATTTGGATTACCTTTCTTCTCTTCGTAAGAAGCTAACTGAAACCAAGGTCTGATGATCCATGCTTGTGCTTTTTGTTGGATAGCGAAGGAATTAAAATTTGAAATATGCATTTTTTAAGTGATTTAATTATATATATGTATGTATTTTGAAAGATTAGCCAAACAGCGATGGCATGATAAAAACCTATATTAGATTTCACGTAAATATTATAAGCTTTGTTCAATTTCTGGTGGTGCTTGACATCAAAAACTAATCCGTCTAAAACCTTAGCCTATGTTTAGGCGCCATTGGAAGGCTGTGTTAGAAAATATTGGAACGATGTTACATTGATGCCCATGTTTGCTTTATTTTGAAATACTAAATCCTTTTGGTTATGTCTGATACAAAAAATTTAATAAATGTTATTTGACATTTTGAATGGGTAAAAAGTAGTTTTCTTATGTATTGATTTTACTTGCTTTCACCTCTGCTGGTTTGTGTTATGCATCTCCTTATGCTTTGTAGATATATGCACGTGTAAGGCATGTATGAATATGTACAGATAATGTTTGAGACTTCTATCAACTTCTGTCTTGGATACTTTTATGAGACTATTGTTTTTGTGCTTTTACAGGCATCTTTGAGCGTTTTCGCGGAATTCTTCATGAAGGAGAGATTGACAAACGTGTTCAGTTCTTAATTGAAGGCCTATTTGCAATTCGAAAGGCTCAGTTTCAGGTGCGTCTCTATATATATGTATAGTTATTTATAGATGTTAGCTCAGTAGGACTAAGTGTCAAATTAATTTGCATGATAACTTTAAAGATCTGCTGCAAAGTGACATGTCCAACTTTGTGTTTACAGGGCTATCCAGCTATCCGTCCTGAATTAGACCTTGTGGAGGAGGAAGACCAGTTAACGCATGAAGTCTCCTTGGATGAGGAAATAGATCCCGAGACTTCTCTTGGTATTACTTGAGTTTTATAATTGATTCCTACATCTTGTTTTATTCAATTGTTATATGTGATTGCTCATTTTTCTCATCCTCTTTTGTCCATTAGATATATTCAAGCCAGATCCAAATTTCCCGGAGAACGAGAAGCGTTATGAAGAGTTGAAGAAAACAATACTGGGTGAGGAATCCGAGGACGAAGAAGGCTCTAATGCAGAGTCAGATGATGATGAAGATGATGATGAAGAAGAAGATGATGATGAAGAAGAAGAGGAGCAGATGAAAATAAGAGATGAGACAGAGACAAACCTTATCAATCTTAGAAGAACAATATACTTAACAATTATGTCCAGTGTAGATTTTGAGGAAGCTGGTCATAAGCTTTTGAAAATCAAGCTAGAGCCCGGTCAGGAGGTAGGTTTGGAATTTCTACTGGCAGTTACTGCATGTTATTAGAAGAATAAATAGCAAATGAACTGCATCGTAATTTTAACCATAATTTCCTCATTACTTAGGGACTGTTATCACTTCCAGCATCAAACAAATTGTTCCCATTTGTCTTTTGTTTTAAAAATAGTTTGTTCTAATTTATCAAGTTACCCATTTATCTTGTTGGATTTTGGCAGATGGAACTGTGCATTATGCTTTTGGAATGTTGCAGCCAAGAGAGAACTTACCTTCGGTATTATGGTCTTCTTGGGCAGCGATTCTGCATGATCAACAAAGTCTACCAAGAAAATTTTGACAAGTGTTTCGTTCAACAATATTCAATGATCCACCGCCTGGAAACAAATAAATTGCGCAATGTGGCAAAGTTTTTTGCTCATTTACTGGGGACTGACGCGTTACCCTGGCACGTTTTATCATATATACGGTTAACTGAAGACGACACCACTTCTTCTTCCCGTATATTCATTAAGATTCTCTTCCAGGTATGAGGACGCAAACTTAAATATATCCTTTTACTTTGTGGAAACTTGTCTGTTTGTAGTACAATGATTTTGGTTAGATATTGTAAAAACTTGTCTAGCTGGCAGTATAATGATTCATTTTTGTGTGTGGAAGTTGTTGCTGATTTCACCTTCTTGTTGCTTCTACTACAGGAATTGTCCGAACATCTTGGCATCCGGCTTCTAAATGAGCGGCTGAATGATCCAACAGTGCAAGAAAATTTTGAATCCATATTTCCAAGAGATAATCCGAAAAACACAAGGTTTGCCATTAACTTCTTCACATCCATTGGGCTTGGTGGCCTTACTGAGAACCTGCGAGAGTATTTGAAGAACATGCCTCGACTTATCATGCAACAGCAGAAACCAGTCTCTGATTCAGAGTCAGACGATGAGTCTGGGAGTTCTGATACTTCAGATTCGGGATCCGCTAGTTCTGAGTCCAAGTCCGAGTCCGAGTCGGACTCGTCCAGTTCTGATGAGAGCGACAAGAGGCGAAGAAAGAGGAGGAGAAGGTGAAGTGGCTATGTGCTGGTAAGGGGGTGCAGGGCATAGGTTTAGCCGTGAGTCCCGTGTATTACACGGTTACGAGTGGTGCAACTTGTTGTAGATTTTTAATGTTAAATATTGTGTCTCCAAATGTACCCCGCTAATTTTGTTCGTCATTTGTTTTATGAAAATTCAATTGAATGATACTACTTTTATCCTATTTATGAGGTGTAGAGAGAAAGTTTGCTCCTAAATATAAATCACTTGTAGAATAATTAATGGATATTTTTAAATTTTATTCTCATTGACTTAATTAAATAGAGGAAGAGATAAAGTAAATAAGTGAAAAAAGATAAAACATTTTAATCTCTCCTCTTTAATGAGGGTAGATGTGAAAAAAAGAGGTCAATCTTTGTTTTAGATTAGTGGGGCGCTTGAATCATGTCTAATTTAATTTGAGCCAAGCTTCATTTTAGTCTTCTTTTAATTCTCATGAATTTTTTTATCGGGTATGTTCTTGTAAAAAAGAAGTGAGTGCATAATTCATTCTTATGTGGACTTAAAAAGCAAAAAATTAACCAACAAGAGCTAGTTTAGTTGCTAAGGAGTTGGTTCATAGCCTATAAGGTTGTGAGTCCGAATCATCCTACTAATGTAAAAACCTTGTTAGTAGGCGACTTGTAAATATTTCTGTAAATACTTTTTGAGCATGAAGGTATTCATTGGTCTTGGTGAGTTATTGGGATCTAACTCACCAAAACTTTTTTGTAACAATAAAAAATAACAGGTTATTAGAGTTTTATTAATATAAAGTACTAAGTGGGCAAGGACTAATCCATATGGTTCATTTCACTATGAACTTAGAGAAAGATTCTGTTTGCAAGAACCTAAATTAGAGTATGGATACTTTATGTGCATACAAATTTATTATGTTCTCACTAATAAAATTTTCAGCAGGGAACTTTTCTCCAGTTTTCTTTTGACTTAAGGTATATCTGAACTTTCAGCTAAAAAAAAAAAGGTATATCTGAACTTTTTTTAAAAAAAAGTTGACTGTGAACTTAAATATCATGTTGGGCACTACATTGGCTCATATCACTATGTATATGTAGTAGTATTATAAATTCAAAATATCATTCGTTTTTTTTATTAATAATCAGATTATTTTTAAATTGGCATACGTTTCTGTTTGTACATTGTATGGATAATTGGATATTATTTGGGTTCATTAAAAATAAATTATTTAATGAACCTAAACTAAAGATATTTAATTTTATAATCTAAATTTTTGTTTTTGATACTTTTATATTTTATGTTAACAACATATTTTCATTTTCAAGTTCATTGAATAATTATGTATGGTTTCAAGGGCTAAAGCCTCAAAGGGTTTATAAAGAATGAAATTTATTAATCTCTTAATGTTGACTCTAATTTATATATGATTTATACTAAGAAGTATGTACAACATCACACCACTTATAGAAAACTTGATGAATTGCGGAGGGAGACGAAGGCTGGAAGGAAATTAACCATGCTGGCAATTAATCTAGGGCAAAATTTTAAAAGGGTAATTTTGTTCAATATTTATCACATTAAGGATAGTTTTGTCTTTAAATTTTTTGATCCCACGACAGTAACAATACTGGGATTGGGTTGGTTTAAGCAATCCCATATAGGGAGTGTTTGAATGGAAACCAAACCATAGTTTTAAAAGTGATTTTACGGTATGTGAAGGAGTTTGTTTTGATTTGCAGAAAAGTACTTTTTAGAAGCACTTCTGTTCCAAACACCCACTTACTTGCATTGCCTAATCCCAAGTCTCCCTAATCTCTTCTAACAAACATCATAAAATGAGCAATGCCAATACCATCCTGGTGCCAACCCTCTCAATTCAATATGACGCATAGGTACCATTAAAATTTTGTTAGAATTTAACCCCCAAAAAAACTGATGTTGGAAAATATTGGAATTGTGTTACACCAATGCACATATTTATTTTGTTTTAAAAATACTAATTTTTTGTCATATTAGAAAACAAAAATTTTAGCAAAAAAGTTATTTGGCTTTAGTGAAAAGTTATTTTCTCATGAACTGATTGTCCTTGCTTTTATTTCTTCTGCCGGTTTATGTGTTATACATCTCCTTATGCTTTGCAGATATACGCACATGGAAGACATGTATGACTATGCATAATGCTTCAAGATTTTATACTAACTTCTGTCTCCAATACTTTTATGATATTATTGTTATTATTGCATTTTTATAGGTTTTTTTTAATTGTTTTCGTGAGAAACTGACAAACATGTCCAATTCTTGACAAAAGATTTATTTGCAATTCGAAAGAATCAGTTTCAATCTATAAATAAGGCAAATTACTTACGTGGATCATTATATTATAACTAACTTATTTGGGAAGACTGAGAAGGTTACTAAATTATTTAATTATAACATATGTTATATAATATCTGTAAAATACTTATGTGGATCATTATATTATATATCAATCTATAAGTAAAGCAAATTAGTTTGGAAAAAATGATAAATATAAATAGTTTAAAGTAATTTAGAATTTTTTAATTTTTTCAAATTAGTCAAGTGTGTCTTATATTAAAAATCAGATGTAGTATTATTTAGTAATGCTTCAAAGCATAGATTAAATAAAGTCAAATTAAGTCATTGAATCATTAAAAAATTACTGGCTATCAGTTGCTAATTGTGTATTTAAATACATGTCAGTTAATTTTGATTAGTTTGACAGTTTGTTGATAGTTGTAGTTTATTGAGAACTGCTTAATTAATTTTAGTAGGTATTTGATTTATTAAAAATTTTATTTTCATAGATAATAAATATTCATATAATGAAAAATCTGGGTTTCCATTTGATTAACAGTAAAATCAGGCTACTGGACTAGGTGAACCCCCTAAATGTAATTATTTTTTTAATCCCAAGGTCGATAATCAAGCTTACCATATGAAAATGCAATCAAAACATACTTAGTGAGTTATGGGAATAGTGGGGTAATGATTTTAAAAAAAAAAAAAAGAAGCTTCTACATTACTTCATCTCATGAAATCAATGAAATTCTTTTTATTAAAACAAGAAAACTACAATATTAAAGAAAAAAGATGCTTTGACCCACAACTAAATCACATGGAAGACAGTTTTGTGTTCTCACAAGCAAAATCTTCAATCCTTGTATTGAGAGGTTCCCACATTGTCAAAGTTGGCAAGCCATTTCCCAGAAACCAGCAATTCTGCAGGTACCATATAACTAGGCAGCCTTCAAGGCATCAGATCAGTTCTTGAATTATCTTCCAAACTAGGACGAACTTCCATGACAAAAATCCTGAAATTCTCCTTTGAACATTATGGCCCCAAAACCTCCTTCTATTGTTTCATTACATATAAAAAATGAATAATATCCTCTGATGGGCATGTCTGTGTTCTGCAGAATCCAATTTTTTGCCTTCACTAGAGTTAATTAATCAAGAACTTTTGTGATCTCAGATAAAACCATCTAGTATAATTCTTGTCTTTTTAAACAAATGCTCTCAGATGGTGGCACGTCTTCCTCATCATGCCTGATGAATTCTGCATTCCCGTTACAAAGTCTTGCTGATAATGAAGGTGATAAAGGTGTGCTGTTGCCATCTGCAGTTATTTCAACACAAGACATATGACAGGAGAAAAAGTCATTCCAAGGCTCGACATTCTAATATGGAAATTTAATTTATATATTTCATTGCGAAATTCAACCAAGAAGAAGACCCAACGAATCTCATCAGTATCTGAAGTTCTTCTGAGCCCAAAATTCATGTTAAAACTAAATTTTTAATCAAGCTATGGGAAGACATAACTCTAGAGTGAGGTCATGGAAGCCCTGATACAGCATTCAGAACTATTTCAACTCAAGATTAAGCCTTTTTTCAAGGGGAATTAGATTACGATATTATGTGATTGTCATGTGTTGTGTTATAATCCCTAACCAAATTTTATAAACAAAATTCACACACCTCTAAAAGAAGGGGTTCTCTCAAAGTCCTTGGTTGCATGTAATAATATTGTGCCAGAAAGCACTATAACAAAGCCACATATATCTGACACAATAGTCCCACCACTTTGACCATCCCAATCCTGCGAGCATGAGTGTGAAACGTGATCAGGCTCATTTTATCACGCTCGGGGGGGAGGGGGGGAATGGAAGCTTCTCATTTATCGTAAAAATGCTGATACCTTAAACATTATCACACTGGCAAGGATTGTAAGTGTTGTAAACATTACATAATATATGGGAGAGACAACTGCAGTGTTGAAGGTGTCAAGAGCCTGAAATGTTAGAAACATGTTAAAGAATGTATTGATTCAAATCTAAGAACTCGCAAGGATATTTATAGCACTAATCTAAATTGAAGCATCGTTTTCCATGTCCGCTGAATAAAAGCAGAATATCAATCTGAGTAAAATAAGACAAAAACAATACAGAACATGATAAATCAATAAGAAAACACACACACTATTAAAATAGATATCACTACACGTGAAAGATTATATATAGCTGAGAGGTGGTTTCCGTCAGAAAGTTTTACAATATCAACTCGTTTTTCCCCCCTAAATTAATGTATGTTTAATCAGTTTTAAGCTTCTGAAAGATTATTTGATTGATTACATCCAGGGATAGACTATAGGCAAATGGATCAAAAGGAAACAGACCAAAGAAAACAAGCGGAAGAGCAGTTAGCTAGTGAGGCTGAATAGATGCTATTTTCAGCGAGCATGCCAACCTCCTTCGGACAACCATTAATAAAGCAACAAAGACTAACCCCAGATTAGAATGTTACACTTCACCTGCCTGTCACAGATCAAAAGAGAAACCTAAAATCTCAATATCTTTTCTCTGTTTGATTCCACAACTATCAGTATAATGTAGTTTCATATACACCCGCTTATAATTCTCACCATTAATCAAACCTCACATCCTGAATGAACCAAATTATAATGTGCAAAACTGCCCCTTGGCCACATATTAAAGACAACAATTACATCGAAAATAAGGCCATCATTGGTATTTTGGTTTGGGGAGGGGGGGATGAGGACCACCAAATAAAAAATGCACTGGATTAAACCTAATGCTACTTTAGTGGTAATGCATGAAAGTTTAGTGAATTTATGGCATGCTTTGATGACAAAGTGATTCTTGGTAAGAAAGATTAACAAAACTAGATGCTGATTCTGAACTATCTTGACCTCCGTTGAGAAGAGAAAAATTCCAATGCCTCACTTTTGGAAGCACTCTCCCCTGTTAAAACAATTAATTGTGCATAATATTATTCTGGGATTCATTACTCAAATAGAATGAAAAAGTAAAAGAAGAACATTTTTCTGTGTCAAAACTGATTACAGTGGAAAGAAATATTGACACCATTTCACAAAAGAAAAAATATTGACACAATTTCAAGTCCTATGATACTCAAATGTGGATTAGGTGGTAGCATAAAAAATCATATCGTTATATAGAAAAAGTTGGTCAAATGTTGAAACTACTGCAAATAGGAAAATGGAAAGAAAGAAAACTAAATTTGTTTTAGAGGGGGATGGACAATCTTTTAGGTTTAGGAAACATTCAAAATGTAAGATTATGCTTATTCCACCAGGCTAATGTTATGGCACATTCAGTACAAACCTTGTTGAGATAATTCATTTGAGTGACGACACATATAGCGACGATCAACATAAAAAACCAAGTCTCTGGGTAGATCAACTGATTGTTTCCTTCAAAAGTTAATTTCAAAGAAGTTCCAAGGGCCTTAACACTCATGACCTGCAAAATCACAATAATGTCATATAGATAAGTAACCACAATTTATAAATTAGGAGAGGCAAATGAGGGGTTAAGTCCGCAATTCATTTTTCCAGATTAAAAAATGAGTGGTATGAAGAATAAAAGATACAGAGGAACATTTTGACAGCGTATGTAACCATTATCATCGTTACTATATGTAAAGTAACATAGAAAGCAATTTGAGAGTAAATTTTCCTAGTTCAGATTAGTCAGAAGATTGATGAGAGATAGCTACTAAATTACTTACCGAGAGGGACCCTGACAATGAACAAATCCCAGTGTAAACTAGCACATTGGTATGCCCACAGCTCGGTACAAAATGGAAGACAAGAATGAAAACCAAAACTACAACCGAGCACAAATATACTAGAAAAGCTGCATCACGAAGAGTAATTCTTTGTTATTTAGGGAACCATAACCAAACAAATGCAGAGTAAAATGGTGAAGCATTCTTTACCTGGCTGAGTAGCCATAGTCCATATTTCCGTAACAGATTCAATAGGATGCTCCTTAGGCGCATGAATAACAATAATTACCGAACCAACAATGCACATTACGCAGCCCAAGATCCCAAGATGGTGTAGCTTCTCCTTCAGAATAATGTGAGCCAAAATAGCACTAAAGGACATACATTCATAAATCATGAAGAAGGAATTATTTTACTCGCCAATACTTGTCAAATAAATATTACCGTCTCAGTTAATGTTAAGGATTAAAGGAAATACCTCACAATTATACTTAATGCTCCAAGAGGGGTGACTATAACTGCTGGGGCAAATGCATATGCAACAAAGTTTGCAACCTCTCCAACAATCACTAAATCATCAGAAACCACACAACAACAAAGATTCTCCTTGAAATCGGATATAAAGTCAAAATGCCAATGATAAATTACATGATAGTTCTACTTAATCATGAAGGGAACTACAACTGAGAGATAACTCTTGCTCAAGAAAACATGTGCGACCGAAGCCAAGGCAATCATTTAATTCTGACATGAAGCAATAAATCCAGATGCTACAATAAACAACTGGAAAACAAAATCAAGTCAACTCGACTTCCAGGTTCATTTCACAATGATAGGGTCAAAACGATATCAGTTATTGAGACCAAACTCATTTAAGTAGGAATATATTGGAAGCTTACTTGTGATCATCCCCAACCACCATAGTGGCTCCAAGAGATAATAATACCCACCAACACCTGCAAAATCAGAAATTAAGAAGCGGTTCTGACCATAATAAGCACCCATATATGGATTCTAAGGAGGAAATAGAAAAAATAATTGATAGAATAGATATTCACCAGCCCTGACACCCGAAGCTACAGCTGCTCTTTTGAGTCCCTTCTTCTTGATGATAAAGCTTGCCCCAATGAACCCGCTCGATAGCAATGCTAGAATAACACCTTTCAGATTCTCATCGGAGATATCCATGTCGAAAAATTGTCACTTTTGTCTGAATTCAATCTCTTTCTTCGTCTTCTTCTCTTCATCGATAAGCTCCCAAAAGAGCAGCATTTGTCTCCCTTCCTCAGATCATCCTTGTCAAATTCGTGATTTACTTGTGACTTTTTGGCGATGAAAAGCTGAAAAAGACGCGGTGCATATCCACTGTGTAGCCCAATTATTTGTGAACAGCTCCTTTTGATCGAGGAACAAAATTTTAATTTATACGTTGAAGGGTTTGTTATGGTGTGGGATTCCCCACCTTAGAGGGAAAAAAGAGATGAGAGGTAGTTTTATGCTGTTTTGCATAAATTTGTTTGGGACATTAACTTCCAACGTTTTTTTTTTTTTTGGGTGGGGGTCAGCACTGATATATGGAAGAAATTGCTTTGAGAATTGGTAATGTGCAAGTATAAATCATTGATATCAATATCAAAAATATACAATATGAAGGATATGACTTATTTCTTAAATTCTAGGGTTAAGGTGCGCCCACCATCCCAAACTATTTATTCAGGTGCGTCCAGTGGCCTAAAGTAATTTTGGATGCATCCAGTGTTCTAAACTAATTAAAATAGTGCGTCCATATCCCAGGCTAACAGAAATGTTATGTTTAACCGTTACTTTCCTGACTCAGCTTAAAGTTGACCCCAGATATTGTAAATGGTAGACATATAGACATTTGATGTGTATTATTCTTACTCAAAATTGAATTTATTTCCTTCCTCTTCTTCTAAATAAATTGACTTTTGAGTAAGAATAATACACATCGGGTGCCCATGTGTCTACCATGTAGAACATCTGGGGTCAACATTAAACTGAGTCAGGAAAGTAACGGTTAAACATAACATTTCTGTTAGCCAGGGATATGGACGCACCATTTTAATTAGTTTAAGACATTGGATGCACCCAAAATTACTTTAGGCCACTGGACGTACCTGGATAAATAGTTTGGGGTGCTGGGCGCACCTTAACCCTAAATTCTATATAACATATTAAGAAACATGTTCCATACTTGATTATATTAAAAGGTTAGAAAGTTAATTTAATTTGAAATTTAATTAATTCAGTTTGTTTATTTTAGTTTATTATTAAAAATAGGAAAGATATATTTTTACCAATTCATGCACCACTGTATTTTACAATAAATATTTTATTTTGGAGTATATTGATGAGTGTGTTAGACTGTTAAATTTTAGCTTCATTTTCTAACAAAATTCACTCTGTTAAGAAAATATATTTACTATCAAATGCAAACCACCCTTATGATGAAAGAAGTACTTTTAGCAATAAGAAAGTTAAGCCAGAAATTGCTTCTGGAATTAAGAACAAAGAAGGAAAGAAAATGCACATAATTGGATGGGATATAGAGCCGTCAAAACGGGCCAAGCCCATCGGGCCGACCCTTTTAAGCCCTTTTAAATAGAGGGCCGGGCTTGTATTTTAGGTGGTTTAAAAAAAATTGAGCTTAAAAGGGCTAGCCCTATAGGGTTCAAAAATAAAAGGGCCAACCCTTTAAGGCCAAGGGCTAGCCCTTTTAAGCCCACCTATTTTTTTTAATTATTATCAATATATTTATAAAGTTATAGATTAGTCTTTTATGAATAAGTTTAAATTAGAAAAATACCTAGAAGAGTCAATACTCAAGCTAGATAATTGAAAAGAATTAAATGTCTTGGACTTGTGGAAGAACAATTAAAATTAATTTTCAATTCTTTCAAGAATGGTAACTGATATTCTTAACATTTTAATCACCATAATAGCTAGTAGATTTTCATTTACCATCGGTTTACATATCTTAACAAAGTGTAAAACTTTTCTTATTCGAACAAATGTTCAGGTTCTTATTTGTACTTATAACTACTGCATAGTTTTATTTTATATAAGGTAAATGAAAACAAAAACCTTAATATTTTTATCACTGAAGAAGAGCTCACTTGTAGTAAAGAACAATCAAATATTGCTGATCTTGATGATACTGATGAAGATGAAGATAAAGATAATAATTATGTTGATATTGTTAATCTTTAACTGCTAGGTTTTATCTTTCTGTTTTTCGTGTTTTGTTAGATTTTGATTTTTTTTATTTTGGACAATAGTTTATTGGCATTTAATTTTTTTTTATACACCACTAATTTATTTTACTTATATTTATAATTTGAATAAAAAATCTTAGAAGTTTTGTTGTTTTATTTTTTATTTTAAAATAATTAAAAAGAATTTAAATTTTAAAAAAATAACATAAAAGGGCCAGCCCTTTTAAGCCCTGAGCCCGCATGCCTAAGGGCCGGGCTTTAATAATTAGATAATTTTAAGGTATGTGGGCTTTAAAGGGCCGGCCCTTTTAAGCCCTGGCCCTTCAAGGGCTAGCCCTTTAGGGCCGGGCTAGCCCTTATTGACAGCTCTAATGGGATATGATTAAGAAAGGAAAAGAGGAAAGTGGACTTGGAAGGGGGAAGAGTGGAATAAATTTTTATTTTAAAAACTAATTTAATCAGACATTTATATAGTTTAGATATTTTTATTTTACTTCTCAACATTATAATTTTTTATTTTTATACTTTTATATGTGATAGGTTTTCTTCTTTTTTAACTGATTAAAACCAATTGGAAATCAATATGTCAAATATGAAAAGTAATGAAAATAAAAAAATGTTAAGCTTTTTTATCATCTTAAAGCCCATATTTTTTTTCAGGTAAATATAAAATTTACAATGAAAAATCATACTACTTATAATAAATGATAATTAATACAACTCTTCTTTACTCCATGGATTGATTTTTTAATTTTTTTTAATTTTTTATCCATAGTAATATTATTTTTTGAAATATTTCTTAGCGTAGTGTTTTTTTTTTAACAAAAAGAAAAAGGCACAATCAAACACAGCCATCTCGAGGAATGAGCTGTGATGAACGCGGCAGTGCACCGAACGCTTCGTGGGGATTACCACAGTGAAGGGATCGACGTGGACAAGTGTGGCGTTTTTACTGTCCCAAGTTGGCGGGAAAGAGCAAGGAATGACGAAGTTCCCCAAGTACATAACAACTTTAACTGTTTGTAATGGGCCCACCTTATTCATAATATGATGACACGTGTACCATGAGAATGGCATTGCGATTTTGTTTATATTTGTCTTTTTTTTTTTTACATCTGCTTCGAGTATTTTTGCAACGGATGATTAAAAAAAAAAAAAACAATTAGCATGCTTTCTCATGATTTTTTTTTCATTATTACTCCCTCTTGTCTTTTTTTATAAAACAAATATGTAAAATATTTAACTTATTTTTGTACAGTGAGTGAGAGAATGAACAATCAGCTGGTCAATAAAAGAGAATGAACAATCAGGACAATTAATGCAATAAGAGCGTGAGTAAAAATTAAAAAGATATTCTCCTTATTTTTAGTTTATGAGCTAATTAACTAATTTTCTTAATTTATATAAAGCTGTTAATAGATGCTTGTAAAAAGGGGAACATGAAGTAGTAATTAAAACACTAATACTAATAAGATTTATTTTCGCTTTTATGCAATCTTTTTCTTTTTTTTGGATGCTGATTCATCTCACAATCTCAAAAATTTGATTTTCTCCCCTCTTGAATCTCTATTTCTATTTATGAAAAATCTAAACGTGAAAAAAGTATTCCCACGACACAAAAACGAGTCAATCAACACACATGTATGCTTTTTGGTCTTATTTATAAGTCACTTCTAACATATTTCATTCAGACTAAAAAAAAACTTAAAATTCATTAACTTTTATTTAAAATTTAATAACTTTCTAACTTTATCTATATTTAATATATATTATATCTTATATAAACAAAGTCAACATAATAATAAATGAGGAGTAAAATTGTATATCTATACAAAATTTTTCTCAATGCCATACAAATAGGATCAAAAAATTTCTTTTCTCTCTGCTAGATAAACAGGACCAAGGAGTACAAACATATGTAACTACCACCAAGTACCTGCTTCAACTAACAGGGGTTGTATCAACTCAACTAGAGATCTTGAGTTTGAGTCCTCTGGTCTTGCCCAACTTGGTTCAGATTAGTCTGAACTCTAGATAAATCCTCCGGTTAAAATGAGGTTTTTTTTATTTATTATGAGGTAGGTTCATGATCCCAAATACCCTACATTATATAAATATGTAACTACTAAACTAGTCCATCAACAAACAAACAAACAAACAAACATACAAACATGACAATGGCATGGCTTCCAGGGCTTGCATGGAGCCAGAGATCTAGTTAAGACTTAAAAACAGTAATTGAAGAACAGGGCGAAGAGAGACGCAAAGGAGTTATTAAAATTAACAAACAAATGAAAAGGTCCAGGTTGAAGAAAGTACAATAAAGGAGATACACCATGTATATTTTACAGAATAGCTTAAAAAGAACAGTACAGGAATAACTAGTTACAGGAATGGGTCATCTGAGAGTCTCCATCAGATCCTTGAAGGAATCATGGGAGTAGCGTTCCGCAAGTAAGCACCTGCTGCACCAACTCCACTTCCAAGCTCCACTGGATACCCCACATCTCTCAGAATCATCTCCACACCAGCAAGACAGCCCAACAGTTGTAACTGAAAAAGGAAAAAATTTGCTTAATGGTTAATCACTATGATCTGGCATTTGTGACTTTGTAATATGTGCAGACAATGATCAAGAGCAGTCTATCATGTTACATTCCATGAGTGAGATGGTAGACAAATTAACATCTAAAATTAAAAGCTTAGAAAGATTTGTTGGTGATGAGTACCCAAGTAGGATGAGAAACTCTACCCCAAAAGTTAGCTATTGAGGTAGGAGAACCAACCCACTTAAACACCTCATTAAGTGTTCCGTATGGGATTTACATTTGGTAAGTTTTAAAGGTCAAAGAAGTTATATGCAAATAATTCTAATTTCAAGGATTTAAGTATGATTTGGCCGTATGTTAGAGGTGAATCTCATTGAGAAGTGTTCATGAGATGCTTATCTTCTATAAACTGATCTACTCAAGAGATGTTCTAAACATCTACCACACAAAGACCTCAGAGGTCGAACTTTATTTATCCCACCAAAAGGGATGGAGCCTCTGGTGCTGACATTAGTACAGTCATGAACCTTGTAAGACGCAAGGAGGAAAACAAAAAGACCAGACAGGCAATTTTGTTGTAACTCAATAACACAACATTACCTCATTCAAGTTTCCAAGATGACCTATTCTGAAAACCTTTCCAGCAACTTTGTTTAGTCCCAGACCTAAGCTCAGGTTGTATCTCTTCCATCCCCTTTTAACTACTTCAGAACTATCGATGTAAGGAGGAACCATGACTGCGGTCACGGTGTCACTATACCACTCTTCCTTCTGGGTGCAGTTCTTCAACCCCCATGCCTCAACTGCAAGCCTGCATTTAGTATGATCAGCACATATCAGATTCACTGTCTCAAATCCGAACAAGACAAAATTATTCAGCCATATTCTATTTTCATGGAGAGGAAGGGAGGGAGGGGTAGAAGGAATATCGAATCTTAACATTCTGACCAGATTGTAGACACGGAGGAATCTGGATCCCCTGAAGTAAGAGTTGATCAGGTTTGCTGAAGTATTAATTTTATGGTTGACTTGCTTGGACAATGAAGATCATGTCAAGACACTTTTCTTTTTCGTCTTAGTCACATGGCATGATCTGAACGATCCCAACAAATCCAATGGCTAGAAAAATAATTACTTCAAGAAACATCACAAAATCTCCCCACTTCAAGGAATCCATTTCAGGATTTGGTAAAAATGATAGTGATAAAGTCTATAATTATACAGACAAAAATAATCAGCTTTGAAAGGGTACAGAGACGTTAAAAAAAATAATAAAAGAAGAAGAACACTCCTCAAGTTTTTAGCATGGTAAAGTCATTAATGCTGGTCTTGAGTGCCTCACCTGGTAGCTTTACCTAAACGTTTGTGCCTTTCAATCACATTCTCAAGTCCTTCCTCAAAAATGAGATCAAGAGCTGCTCTCAGACCATAAAGCAAGTGAATGGAAGGAGTGTATGGCCAATAAGTTCCCAACTTGTAAAACTTCAAGTAGTCACCCCAGTCAAAGAAAACTCGAAGTGATCTGGCACTTTTTGCAGCCTCAAGGGCCTTGGGGCTGGCACACACAATACCTAGCCCAGTGGGAAGGGAAAGAGCTTTCTGGGAGCCAGTTAGGGCCACATCAACTCCCCATTCATCCATTCGGAAATCAAGAGCACAGATTGAAGAGACTCCATCCACAAGGAGGAGGGCCGGATGCCTGTATTCATCTGAGCATCACACACAAACTCTTAGTTGTTATGTGGTGTGGAAAAATAATATAAAATTTGAAAGGACACAACTTAAGTACATGCGTACTTTATGTGTTGTGATCAGATTCTCATATAAATTCATGATGAGGGGATTTTCTTACACCATATGAATTATTACCCAAAAAAAAAAAATTGTAGCTCATCATCTAAAGTAATAAAATAGACCACTCTTTCACAATTTAGAGGAATCAGGGAAGATCAAGAACTTAACTTTGATTTCTATACAAAAAAAACAAGACAAATATAAATGACTTTGATAATGCTCACTTTCTCACATTTCCCAAATATTGCTACTTCCCCAAAGATCCTTTGCAGATAAATCTTCCTTTTCTCTTTGTCTTTTTTAAATGAAATTAGTGATGGATGGTTTGATCAGACGGCATGCAAACAATTATTGAGATGGCAACATCGACATTTAGAGTTATGATGCTTTAACAAGAAATTAAGAAAAAGGGACATGCAAATCAATGTCTAAAGAGCAAAGTTACGGCACAAGATAATGCTTCTAGAAATGGAATATCAAAAAACAGTGCCAGTTTTAATTTTTGAGAAGTTGGGAGTCCGATCATTATTTGAGTATTCATTTAAAAACCAAAGAGAAATGCAAAGGTGTTTTCAGATTCCGTTATTCAGAGATTTGTAGAGGAAAAAGGGTAGCTGTAATTGAAGACCATCGTATGATATGCTCACCAAGAATTTGTCTCACGTGAGCCAAGTTGTTAGTTACTCCGGTTGCTGTCTCATTGTGAACAATGCAAATTGCCTTTATAGAGTGTGTGCGATCTGAAGCAATCTTTGAAGCCAGAATGTCAAGGTCAGCACCCCGGCCCCATTCACTTTCTACGACATCAACATTGAAGTTGAGGCGTTTCTGTTGATCAATCCAAAGCAAACTGAATTGTCCAATCAGGAAAGACACGATACGATCTCCAGGAGACAATGTATTTGTTAGTGCACTTTCCCATGCACCAGTACCTGAAGCAGAAGTAGATGGTTTAGTGAATAAGAAAGGGACAACAACTTAACCATCTAAAGCAAACGAGTATTCCTTTGGTCCAAATACTAGCATCAATAGTTGTAACACAAAAAGAAGAAATAGAAAGACAGTATAAAAGAGCATTCACAGCAATTAGCATTCTAATAGTATCATCTAGGCATTTTGCAGCGAGTTCTCTCACCCCCCCCCCCCCAAAAAAAATAAAAAAGGGTTTGCATTCTTCAAATCAATGCCCTTCCAGTATGATAAAATTTAATAAGAAAAAGATATGACATCCCATGTGGTTGAAATGAAATCAAACTCTTTGCGCTAAGGTGAGAAAGAGTCTTTGAGGGAGCTAAAAAGGTACTAGCGTAATCTTCGCTAGATCAAAATAGAGTTCCAGTCAATAATTGAACAAGACAAACTGAGCATGAATTATAAGAGAGATGTCAATGTAAGAAAGGTAACCATTCTGATTGAAGGATCATCACCATGATGAATAAGGCAAGGCAACGTAATATCTTTATTCACTAAACAGTGCAAATTATAAATATATAAAAAAGAAGAAGAAGAAGACAATTTTTTTCAGTATATACAGTACCAGTTGTAGGGAAAAGAAATGGAGTTCCAGTAGTAGTCTTGAAAATCTTCTTGACATCCTCAAGCAGGTCTTTTGTCAAAGCTGGAATTGCTGGAGACCTGTAGTCCTCATTGTTTCGGGTCATAGCCCGAATGACAGGGTCAGGGATGTTAACCGGCCCTGGAACAAAGAGATGGTTCCTTCCTGGTCCATAAACATAATCCATCTTTCCCTGCTTGAAATTTCAATGAATTTGAATTCAAGCAGTTCTTGTCTTCTCCCACCAGTGAGTAGTCACCTATATATAAAATTCACCATACAGTCAATCTTAACAACCTCTGGAATTGTTGGTCATGAATTCTATGCGAAACTTCAAAGTACAAACAACTAGGCCAATGACAGTGAGATTGGAAAAATAAGCTCATTATGACCATTTGGTACCTAAGATTATGAATTATTAGATTTAAGATTTGATAAATCCTGCATAAATGCCATTAAACACACAATTTGTGAAAGAGGGAAAAGTTATTTCCAAGTTTAGGAGCAAAAATGGTTTAAATTGAAGATTCTGAGATTAAATAACAACCAGAACAGAGAAAGAAGACGTCAAGGTGAGGATCCTTGCAATCATTTGCTTTATTTTGCTTTCAAAACCATTGAATTTGCTTAGAGCTCATTCATGTTCCCGTTTAACTTTTGCGGATTTTGCAATGAAGTAGTAAAACTTGAACTTGCACAATCAAATTGTAAAATCTGAACAGATCCACAACTGATTTTTCTTCTTTATATCGTATATCACTGGGATGAACTATTTATTAGCATGACCAAAAAAGGAAATCAAAGAAAAGGATTCAATCATTTTTTTCCCAATTAAGCGATGTTACCGCTCTCTGATTTGCAGAACAATGCTCTGCATGTCAAAATTCTATAGAATAACTTGACATCTAAGAATTACATCCAAGCTTTTTCTATCCTATGGATACCAGAAACTGATAATCGCAACCGAACATTAGAACATTAAAATCATTTATGGTTAAAAAAAATATACAGCCATATATACCACAAACCAGAGTATATGAACCCTTTACTGGACTAAAACATCTGCTTTTAAGACTATTTATTCTTGCTAAAGTCAAGAAGGTTGGAGCAACCTCCATGGCTAGGAACTTTTGATATCACGCTCATCAACCAACCAGAAAAGTGGAAATTAATGTTTTATAATATTAAACCCCCAGTTTACTCTATTCCATTAAAACTCTTTTCATGATAAAAGGATTAAAGCAGCAGGATTTAGACAGCAATTCTGAGACTAGAAAACAAAAGGCAAATACTTGAAAATGTTGAAAACTTCAACTAAAACACACAAAGATTGAAACTTGGAACACAAACATAGACACATAATGATAAAAAGTGAAGTTAATGCGAATTTTAATAGAAGAGAACAAGAGAGGCTTACCTGGGAGAGAGGGAGGGAGAATCTTCAGTTGGGGTTTTTGGTAGAAATTATGAAGAAAGGAAGAGCTTTGCCTTCTTCCCCGCTTTACTCTGATACAAGCTTGTGTAAATATATAACGAAAACGCCACAGCGAAATTCATTCTGGTTAAGCGAGAGCGCGGGAGAACCAACCAAATGGGGAAGGTGGGACCCCGCACTGTCATGCGTGGCAGATAAGAGGGAGGCATAACTGTGAACCTTGCGGCTGAGGATGGCTGAGGACGAAACAAAGGACTCAGCTTTCGTTGGCTATGCTATAAATTGACTCGTCAGATGATTTGTTCGCAGTATCCTCTCAGAAGGCTTATCCGCTTCCTGGACTTTCCCTACCCCAAACACTTTGCTAATTTTTTTAATTAGTATTCTAATCTCAACTGGGAATCAGTTATTTTATTATTATAAAGCTCATAGACTTGCTGGGCTCATGATAGTTTCACACTTAGATCAAGATTCTAGCTTATGGTTAGATAAACTCATCTTTAAATGTTCTTTTCCGATTAAAAAAATGTTCTTTTCGGAAAATTCAAACCCCTAATATCACAGTGAAGTTTATATGGTGCCCCTGAGCAAATCTTGAGTTTCATTTGTTATATATTTTATAGTCGGTGCATTCTTATAAGTTTTATATTATTTATAAATAATAATACAATATGTTACAAATTTTTAGTCTATGTAGTTGATATTGATTACACACAACCAAGTATAAATCCATATACAAGAACAAATAGTTATAATAGATATATATATATATATATATATATATATATATAGATAGATGGGCTAAAGGTATATAACATCTTTTAAATAAAATCTAAATTTTAGCCAACCATACTTCTCATATAGGATCTGACCCTAGTCAAATTCAAATTAATCAATTGTAGTAATGAATACTAAATAATACTCTTATAATTCTAAATATAAGACTTTTTAACTAATTTGATTATATTAAAAAAATTAAGTAAGTTAGTTAATTATAAGACATATGACATATTTTTCTTAAAACATCATAATCATCTTCCTTAGTATCCTCTTTCCTCTCCCATTTGATTATGAGGGAGTATCAGTAAAGGTAATTTAAAAAAAATTGATAAATATGATAAATATGTTTTATATTTAAGATCAAGCTCAACTTAATAATAAAGTCCTATACCAAGGACAAGAGGAGTAATAAAACAAAAAAATCACATCAAGATTAAGTATTAGCAAAACCCGTGTAGAAGAGAAAACATAGTCAGCAATGCAAACTCCTAGCATTAAGAAAATCCAAAATTTCAACAGTAGTTTAAGAATGAATGATAGATTTACTCATCAATCTCCTACTCTTATATTCTATACAAGAGTCTTAGTGCTCCTTGTTCTTATATCCTAGAGTGGCAGTGTAGATGGGTTAGAGAGGAATTTAGAATGTTGGGAATACAGAATGGGAAAGTGAAAAGTGTGAGGCTGAGAAAGCAATGGGGGAGGATAAAGAGATAACAGTATGCCAGCCACACTTGTTTGTCTGAGAAGTGAAAGCCACAAAAAAATCTATTTTGGGTTTATCTGCAGATTCTCCTTCCTTTCTTTGGCCTCTTCCTCCAAGTTTGGACTCACTTGCGTAGCTACGTTCCACTTGTGGTGATCTGTAAGCATTCAATCCACATTGTTTCTCCTGTTCTTATGGTTTATGTTTTGGCAAAGTGACATTGACGTGGCAAATCAATTAGCTTTTTTAGTTCAACGTGAAACCAAATATTTTTCCAGTTCTAAATATAAAACTTATTTTATAGTGTAAATTACACTACAAAATGATTTTTATATTTAGAACTGAAAGAGTACAATTTTAGTTACAAGTAATATAAGACTCAGCAAATTATTTTCAACTGTAACATTTGCAAATAAAAATAATTTCGTTGGATGAGCTTCTTTTGTTCTCTTCATAATACTAATTGTTTCAACTTAATGTCAATTTTTTCCTTTTGTTTTCATCCTAAATTTTGGTTAATCTTTGTTTCTCAAATAAATCTTCTTCTCAACTTAACTTCTGAACTAAAAACCTCTCACATTCAACTTTTCAAGTACTCATTTAATTAATGTATGTATGTATCATGTATGTGTGTGTATAACTATATGTATATATATCAAATGGTTTTTGAAACTTACATTGAAACTCAACTATGGATTTCCAGTTTTTTCCAAATATTATTTAATAGTATTAGATGTCAAATATTCTATACAAAAAAAGATTATACTACCTCCGCATTTTAATATAAGAGCTAGATAACTTATTTAAAAAATCAAAAAAATTTATTAAGCTAGTTATTTGTAACAAATATGTGTTGACTTTTCTAAACTGACATATTTCATAATATGCATTAGAACAATCAATAAGAATATTTAAAAAGAAAAATTACAAATTTAAGAAACAAAATAAATTAAAATCTTATATTTAATATTAAATTTATTTTTGATTAGCTCTTGTTAACTTAGTTAATAGATGTAATCTTTGCAATCGGAGGAAGTAAAGTGATTAGTTCAAATAATTGAAAAAGATGATTTGGTCAAATAGTGGAATAATATGCGTGGTGATTCATGAAAAAGAAAGGTGTTTTGAAACACCTCATAGTGAGACGCGAAAGGTCGCTTTGTTTCTGATCCATCTTCGCCGTTTCGAACTCGTGTCTTAACTGGAGACTGTGATTCGCCAACCATTAAGCCGGGAGTTCGAGCGGCGTCGGGGGGTTACCTCTAAGTTACTTACACAAACACACACACACACACAAACGAATTACTTATTTTTCTTTTTCCTCCTCTCATAAGTTACGACCAAATTTTGCTGCACGTCAGTTAACACAACGGGCATTTGTGCATTCTTCTCCCTTTCTTATTTTCTTTTTCTTATGATACTTTTAAAATACTCATCAGATTATTTTTAATGTAGAAGCTATTAAGAGCCTGTTTGGTTCAGCGTTTGCTGGCCTAAACATGGTTTAAAATAGAGAGAAGCCTGATTCAAAATGAAAGTATTGTTTGGAAGAACTTACATTGTATTGGGTCTATGAAAAAATAAACTATCTCACTGTGCGTTCAGAATAAGGCAGAGAAGGGAGCTGATTTTTCAAATATGAAAAGCTTGTTACTGTTTTGAGGTGTTAGAAATTTTTTTATTCCCTCTTTCTCTCCCTTTTGGCAATTATTTTCCCCTGAGTTCTTCACTTGTTTTCTTTATACAGAGCAGTCACCCATGAGCCGCGAGTCCTCATGCCATTGTGACCATATTGACCCTTACTCTGAAGCCTCTTTGAAGATTTTCAAGCATTCAGAAAATGACAAAATGTGACATAAAACTGAAAAACAAGTTGGTATATTCATGGAGTACTTAAGGTAGTATTCGAAATATTTAAAATATTTTTTTATCTCAATTTTTTTTATTTAAAATTTTTTTTATGATTTCTTTAAAATTTTAAAATTTAATTCACTCATTAAATTTGACTTCTTCATATTAAATTATTTTAATTTCATTGTATTATGTGAAATGATTTCTTTTTATCATGTTTTATTATTGATTAAAACTCATATCCATTTTGATCATTTTATAATCAAACTACTTTTACTCAACCATAATCCAAACAACCTTTTACTAATCTTACTTTTGTAAACTATCTTTTCTGAACTCCAATCCAAACACAATTTAGCTTATCCAATTTAGCTTTTACTCAATTTCATTTTTTCATAAGCTACTTTTTTAATAAGCTACTTTTCCAATCGCTGATCTAAACAAACCCTAAATGTAGATAGATTAATAAAGCCAGTTAGATTACTTCTGAAAAATATGACATAGTCTCTTTAAAATACATCTATGTATCTTTAAATTTCATATTTAAAATCAAAACTAACTTCCTAATTGACTCATATATTTAGAACAGAATGAGTATTGTAAAAACATATGAACAAAAGGTAAAATTGCGTCTAAAATATTAGAAATGAATTTCTCTAAATTGTTATATTACAATAAAACAGGACCCTATAGCATTTAGAGTTGAAGTGGATTTAATGTTCAATGGCATATGCTTTTAAATATTTTGCAATTAATTTTAAATATTGAATGGGGCCGAGGTGCAAATAAAATGCTATATGAATGAAAATGTAAATAAATCATATAGGTATTTGATACTTTTTCAGTCCTTAATATATGATCTAATTGTTGAGTTGATTTTTGTTCTAAATATAAGATCTATTTCTCATGTTTATTAATTTTTTCTAAATCATCCTTATAAATACTCCCTCAACCATAATTAAGTAGAAGAGGAAGGGACGATATTAAAAAAGATCATTAGGGTATTTTAGGAAAAACATATCATATTTCTTATAATTAACTAACTTATCTAATTTTTTTAATTTAATCAAATTAGTTAAATAAGTCTAATAAATACGAGAGGAGTATGTTTTATTCGCTCAGAATTTGTATAAAAAGAGAGGTGCTTTGGAACACCTCGTTGTGTTGGAGACAGAGAACAAGCAGGCAGCATCTGAGGATGCCTGGCTCGAACGCACGACTCCAAGTCAAGAAAATTTGACTTGACCAGCAAGCCATGAGTTCGAGGGCGTCGCTCGTTTTAATTTTATTTATCTAACAACTTTTGCTTGCCTTTTTTCCATCTACCTAAAAGCACAGATATTAGCAACTTAATACTACAAACAGAATCAAACATGACCTCCTACTTAGAAAGAAGTTAGGAAGTGCATGAAATCAACTGAGAATTGAAGTATTGCTGCGGACACTTTTTTTTCATAGTTAAGCATGATATTACTTCACTGGTTCTAAATATAAAATTTATTTTGTACTATAAAATGGGTCTTATATTTAGAATCAGAAGAATATCATGCTATAATACTAGGCTTTGGTTTGCTTTTGCTTCTTGAATTTGCTTTCTTGCACTATAATTGGATGAGGAGTACAAGATTTCAAGACAGGAAAGACATTTTATTTTCCTATATCACATGAACTGAACATATAATTTGCAAAATCTCCACTTCAATAAAAAAAAATTTTTAGCACAGGGAAATTTAAAAAACACATAAGAGTGGCTTTAAAAAAAAGCAAAAAAAAAAACACATG